TTCCCTACCAAATTTGCTATTAGTATACTTACCCAGAAAGCTGGGAGCACTGGGTTTTAAAGGTCTCTTTGTCTCAAAAGATTTAAATCTGTATCTCTTGCATGAATGCTGTAACCTCCATGCTAGAGGTATTGCTATAGCTGAGCACTTTCCACTCTGCTTGCTAAAGCTTAATTGCTGCATAGCAAATTACTAAAGCCCACAAGAGTGAGCTGAATGGAGGCAGTGACTGTTGGCCCTGGCAAGGATACTGCCTGTCAGCAACAGCCATCCCTTCACTGGGCCTGGGTCATGTGTTCTGCATGAAGAAGCTACTCAATGAACAGAACCTTTCTGAAATAAAGCAGCTCAGAAGCTTGTCTCTGAGGTTGTTCTCAAAAGCCCATACCTAAAGAGGTACAAAAAGGCATTTTGAGCTTCACTGTGGTTCAGGGTGACTGTGGTTTTTCCTTTCAAGCCAATGGTGTCTCAAATTCCCATTTCTTTGTAATTTTTCTTGCCAAGAATTGTACTGTGCATCATGATGGAGTAGAAAATGTGGTACACAGAGGCAATGTGCCATAGTTGTAAAATATAGGTCACCATATCTGAAACAATGCCTTAGAAGGAACAAAATAATACTCTGAACGGTTACATGGGTAGATTGTATGGCTGTTTCTTTCCTTATTTCAACTAGGTTACTCTGCTCTTATAGATAAATAAAGCAAAAAAACAAACCAACAAAATGGCTTTCACTCTTATAAGTGGTTCCTTATTATCTCAGCTTGGTAAAAGTGGATTACAACAAAACACTTGGCAGAGTTATAGCCCATACACAGACACCAATTTTATGAAAACTTGCCAAGATACTGTTGCTATTGGAATTTAATAGCTTGTGTGTTTTCAACCCATTTGCTTTGGTAGTGCTCCGAGGTTTTTATACTCAGATGTTTCTTCACATGAAAAAGATCTCTAGGTTGCAATATTTTTTAAATATATTTTTAAGTTGCTTTAAGCAACAAAGGAATATTATTTGAATAGGGGTTACACTCTCACCCACCTCTTAATGTTAAAGAAATAGAGGTAACACAAGCCCCAGTTTCTAGTTCTGTTCTGCCATTGCTTTTGGTACAATTGGGATACTGTTCCAATTATGTGAAAGTAATTTACAGCTTGGGTCTCCTGTGCTTAACAGCTGAAGGTAATGGGTAAAAGAAATGAAAAGGTAGATCCCAGTTATCTAAAGCTAGCCCTTGTCAGCAGTCCAGCCAGCTGAATGGCTGAGTGCATGTTGGAGGTACTTCAATGTTTGAAACTTTTTACACGCTTGCTGTTCTTAAGTTTCTTAAAAAACAAAAACCCAAACCAAAAAAAAAACCCACAAACCAAACAAACAGAAGTCCCCAGCAACACAAACCCCAAACTAACAGCAAAAACACCCTCACCACAGTTATTTTTGTCTTATATGTATGTTTTTGTTTTATAATTGTTTCAAAATCATTTTTTTCTATATACACTTTGTCAGACGTGAGCATTTGGGTTTTCTTTTTCATGTAATCTTTGTCACATGAAAAGCTTTCACTCCTTCCTGCCTTATTTGTGGACAGTATTTTTCTTCCTAGCTTGTCCTGTAGTCCAAAAATGACATTTCTACTCCATTTGACAGTTTGGTTCTGTATTCAATATAAACTAGTATAAAACTGAGTTTCTTTTCTCCTTTTTGGAGAATTTTATTTGCCTCTATTCCTGTCTATGAAGAGCTGGTGAAGGGTGGCTTTCAGGTCACATGTACCCTTCAGTATTCACAGAGTTCAGCCAGAGCTCATCAGTAAGGTGAACAGCTTCTGTGTACTGTGCAGATTTATTAAATGCCAAGATAATCTGTATCACAGCATTTCATAATGAGGCTTACTAGGTAGGCAATCCCCCCAGTTGTCACTGAGTAACAGTATGTACTATAAGCTGTTCAGTCTGAGTGCCTTTTGTACTCGTGTCCTTCACATTTTTCAAGTGGCAAATATACAAATAGTCACTACTGTATCCTATAGGTAGGGCACTGTATCTGAAAAATTGATTTATGCTACCCCTGAAGCTGATCTCATCCCTCATGTTTTTAGGGTGAAAAAGCACAAACAATTGGCCAGATTGAATTCTGCTTCACCAAACAACTGCAACTGAGGAACTGCACGACGCTGAAGGATGAATCCAACCCAGTGCAGGCTCACTTGAAGCTTGGAACTGAGGAGTTGTCTGTCTGCAATGATAACCTCCCAACCTATTATCCTTCAGAGGTTCAAGATCACAAACAAAGCCATAAGAGTTTGAAAAACTTTTAAAACAGCAACAAGAACTAAACTCTGAAACATCGTGCCTTTGAAAGTAGTCTTGATTTAGTAATATTGCAACCCCCTGTCCATGTCACAGGCATACTGTGAAGATTTCTGTGGGAAAATAGTTATTTTGCCATTAAAGGCAAATGGTCCACATGATGGGTTCAGAATCTGATTTACAGCTCTGTTTGGATTTTTTTGTCTTGTTCATGGTTTGAATCAATGTTCAAAGAACTGTGACTTCTTAATTTCACTTGCAGTTGTCTGCCACTTTAGCCACTTTTTGTTTGTACCAGTCAGGGAAATTAAATAATTCTTTGTTTCAAAAGGATGATTGTCTCTCTGAGATAAGATGACAACTTATTGAGAAGAAAATACTGTAAACAAGAAGAACTTTGAGACCTGCCTAGAGAGTCTGTTCCTAGACATAACATCCACTGCCTTGCATAAATTTGATCTCCAGAAGGGCTGAACAGAGGCCATGTCCTCTGAGGTGTTAAACTCTCAGGGATCACTGTGGACCAAAGACAATTTTTGCATAACTTCTTAGTGAAGTAATAACAATCTCAAGGTTTGTGGTTTTCTGCCTGAAAGACCCCAGGAAGACTGTATTTGTAGCCTTATCTATTCTTTGATTGCTTTTTTGTGACAGTAGCTCCATGCAGTCTTGAGGAATAACCAATCTTAGAACTTGCTTGCTAATATAGGAAAATGTTAGGCCCTAGAAACATGCTGTTAATAATTTTTTGTTGCGTTCAAACATTTAGCATTACAAGTGTGAGTGCTTGCACTTTTATATAAAAATGAAATTGTCACATAATCACTTTGTTACAAGAAACAGTCTTTTATGCATGAAGCAATAAATACTCAGGATTTTAAGTAAAAAATACAGATGTTGGCAAAATAATAGTTAACATGCCACAAAGTTGGATGTTTGCAAAGGACATCAAATTTGGATTACATCCTTTACGCAGTGCTGTGTTTATTAACGTTTCTCAAATTGTCTTTGAAAGAAAGATGATTATGGTTCAAGGAACCATCTGTTAGAAGAATATTACTGTGAAAACATGAAATGCAGTATTAGAAATAAACTCATTATGTTTTAGGGGGGTTAGAAACCGTTTACATTTACTCTTTTTTTACTGTCCCTGTTTCTCTACCACCTTTCATTTAACATTCTAGTTACCTTCCCATTCCAGAATGCTGTCAGGTTTTCAGTCCTTTCTTCAGAAACTCAGATATTTATTTATTTTAACAGCTAAGAAATTACTATAGTCTACCAAACGAGTGAGTGATTGTTGGGTTTCCCTGTTTTTCTGCCAGTTGTTTTCATTCCTCAATCCTCTTTACAGTTAGAATCAAAACTCAGACTTGGAAACAATGAATGGTAGCATTGGTTCCTGCATAGACATACGCTTAATGGAAGCTCAAATCAATAGCCTGATTTTTTTGCTGTTGTTGTTGCAGTATAAATTATGTTTTCTTTATAAAGCTGAATAGTGATAGGGAGATAAAATATACTGTATGAGTTCTCTGCAGTTCAAGTGTAATGCATTGATTTAAGGAAAGCCAAAAAGTGCGAATACAAACTTTGCAAGGAAGTGATGGAGATGCTAACAGACTTCACAGTGCGAGGCTTAAAGGTAAAGCTGACTGTTGCCAAAGAGTCAACAGATAACACATAAGAGTCACAAATGACCAGCTTCTGCAGCAGAGTAGATGGTATGGCTTCCATGCATTTTTCAGCCTCATTTTCAGATGCAAGACATGTGAGGGAGCTGACAGCATTTAAAGCTTTGAGGAGAAACTAACATAATCCTAAATGAGGGAGTGAGACAGCATTGCAACAGCTTGAAACTGAGTGAAGATGACTGATGAATGTTAAGTAAAGGTTGGCTAAAAGTGACCTCACAGGCTCTGAAGTCCTGTTAAAGGGACATACCTGAAGTACTGCATTTGCCTTACCCAAACCACACCCACATGCTTTTTATTTTGCCAACGTTATTGCACATTAAGTATTTTAATTTGCTATGGTTAATTTATTAGTAGTAGCAATGAAACACTATGATTACTGTTGTTGGGTTTTTGACAATCCCACCTGCCTAACTTCTAGGAAGATACAAATGTCTTTTAAAAGCTAGTGATTCATTTTAATCCAGAGATGTGCCAAGACACTACAATGTTTTAAGTGATATATTTAAGGGATGCTGTAAGGGATATGTCTGTATGTGGGCAACCTGGAGAGCAGATGAATCAATGGTAACACCTCTTCAGACCAAAGATCATGTCTAGTACTTTTTATTCTCTCTAGCAATGGCTCACAGCCAGTTACCAGCCTTGTCGATTGTTTTCCATCCAGAATATGTATAATTTCAAAAGTTGGATGAACAGTTTAAATATGAGGTAAACACAGGTATATTGGGAGCCTTAAAAGTCACTTTAGTTCTGAAAAGTGTCACTACCTTAAGCAGTATAAAATCTGCCACCCTTGAAAATTCTGCACAGCCTGAGGGTGATGTGGCATATATTCTTCTCTGCATCATTAAATAAATTAACTAAATTCCAGCAGAGGAGTTGTTTGTGTGATCTCAGAGGTTTAAAACTGTAGTCAACTCCCCAAAGGACTTAGCTTGTTTATACCCTCTGTCTGTGTGCTCTCTCATGCAAAATGGGCAAGCATCCCTTGGCATGTAGGTTAGAGCATGGGCTGTCTATCCCCTGTCCAAGAACACCCCCTCTTCCTGGGGCATTGGCAGGTTCTTTTCTCTTTCTCTCTCTCTCTCCCTCTCTCTCTCCAGCCAATTTTATGGTGGGGAAGAAAAAGACTGGAAAATGCAGCTTCTACTCAGTTTCATTAGGTAGCTACCTGCATGCATGTACACTGTGCTAAGGACATGTTCATCTCCCTACCAGCAGCCAGCTGATCCACCAACAGCAACAGGAGATGGGAGAAGGAGAGGGGACCTCTTCCCATCACTTCTGTTCTTAGCTGGGGCAACATCTGGTTGCTGTTGCCCAACTAGTAGGCAAGGCTACCTCTGCAGGCTGAAATGGAGGTGGCACAGGGCTCTGGCCATGTCCCTACTCTGCGCCTTCAGTCACTGGCGAGTGCTGGGCTATGCTGCCAGCCCCAGATGCTGCCTATTGGAAGGAAAACAGTAGTGGCAGGCCTGCAGTGCCCACACAGCTAGCCAATATGCTGCAAATCAAGTCCCACAAATGGGGCCAGGCTAGGTATCTACTGCAGCAAGGCAGCACATGCAGGTTTTTACAGTGGGGAAGAGGAGTTTTGATGGGAATGGGTTCTTGAATTTGGGCACCTTAGTTCTGGTGTGGCTGTGCTTCAGTCAGCTGTGCTCTGGATCTGGCTCTGAGCACCATTAAGCCAAGGCCATAGAAGGTTAATGGTGCTGCTAACAGTGCTGTTGATGCCTGATGATGGTATTGATGATGCAAAGGGAAATTCTCAGGACTTGCAAGTCGCTTTCCCGGGAAGGGAGCAGTCGATGATGAAGAATGTTGTACTTAGTCTAAATTCAAACTGTCTTGCTGCTAAGGCAGCTTCTTTCACTAGGGTCACTGCATGCCTCCCATTCCTCTAAGTATTCTGTGCTCCATGAAGTTGCCATAGATCACCCAGAGCTGATACAAACAATTCATTTTAGAAGGGATTTAAATTTCATGTGCTTTGAAGAATAACAGCTTTAGAATACAGGCTAAATGAGACCTGATGTGGGAGCTGGGCAGATTATTTTGTGTTTGTGTGCTGTGATTTGCATTATTCCTTACCCCAAAGTTCACTGGAGTGTCACAGTCTGTGTGAGGATTAGATAGACCTTGAGGGCAGCCAAGCCCAACCGTGCCCATAGGTTGATGGTATGAATTCTATCAATATGTTTAGCAGGAAAATCAGAGTGCTGACATTCATATGCAGTGCTCAGTTTGGAGAAATGATGTTTCAGTAATCTTTTATAAAAAAGAAAAATGGACCATATCTCATAAGAATTTTAAGGAGGTGATATAAAATTCTTAAGCAAGCTGAAGAATACTGTGGTGCAACGATAAGAAATGCTTTTCTGAGTACAGCCTCATTTACCAGAAAACAGGTTGTTCACTCAAGATTTTTCTATAACTCAAATTATTGTTTGCGTTAGAGACCTGTGTGCTGCATGTAAATCAGAGGAGACAAGCCAAAACAAAATTAGGAAGAACTAAAAGCTCAGCAGTTACCTTGTAATAATTAGTCCCTATAAACAAGCATGATGCATCCCAGCAGGTACCTACCATTAGATCACTTACTTCTGCTTAGTAAAACTTGCTGCTGTCAGCCTTGAAGAGGCTTCTCTCTTTCCGGTGTTTAGCTGTAGGTGGAGAAGCTGTGCACACTTCTAGCAGAGCTGTCATTTTAGCTCATCAGGCTTCCACAGGTCCATCTCCCTCACCAAGATTACATAGGTTATCATCATGAAGGCGACACATGTCCAGCTGACTTGTGCATCAGCTGTGGGCTTCTGTTCAAAAGAACATTGTGAAGGGACTCTCCCTCCTCATAAACTCTGATTTGCAGATATTTGCCAAATGCCTGGGGTATGTATTTGTTAAGGATTTATTGGCCAGGCGGCTGGCTGACTTTCTTGTCTCCAGGCTCTCAGATGTTTGGGGCTTAAAACACTGGTATCCTACTGAGGCAGTTGTTTTATACATAACAGCTAGCCCTGCCTTACTGTTTATCATTCAGCCCTGGATATATTCAGAGATTTCAGTCTCACAGTTTCTATCGGATTCAGTGAGCAGCTTGTAATTTCTGAAGCCTACTGCAGGATAATCACTGTAACAAAATAGCTCTGGGCCATAAGGTGCCCTCTCATTTCCAGTGCCTCATGTTGTTTTCTCTTTGTTTCCCTTCATTAACCTCAGTGACTTGAGAGATGAATGGACCATGCTCTTTGATCTCGCAGAGTAACCAAACTATTTATGAAGGCATAAATATTGTAGCAGAGGAAAAT